AGGGAGCTCTTTTAATTGCAAATTTTGCTTTGGAGAGTTTATCGTTTCTACAGTTGGATCATTTCTATAGTGATTTTCTCACCCAATGTCTCTGAAATGAAGGTTGCATTTTCCACTTTTTTCCCATTACTTCAAGCATGACCTCTAAAACAACTAAGAAAAATCGTTTGATCAACATATGAATATTGTACAACCTATCATACAAACTTTGCAAGTCAAAGGCAAATTCGTTCAGAATCTCTAATAATCTTTACGGGGAAAATTTAACAGCCTGGACGCTAAAGGAAAGAAGAAACTGACCTTAGAATTGTTTGTTCTTTTTAGCCAACCAAAAATAGTGACGTAAACAAATATGAAACCTTCACTTTCACCTTCTTGATCAACGTCTCCCAAAGTAACCCTCGATGAGCAATACACAATCTTGAATTGCTCTTGCCCGTACCAGTAGGTCGGACATTGTGCGTTTATTTTCAGATTGACGCGTTTAATCCTCTTTTTTGTAAATTTCTTCTGAACCAATCCTCTCAACCCACAAAGCCACATGTTTCACAGACTGGGGTGATTTATTTTATGAGGACAAAAAGTTGTACGGCATAACTCTTACAGCAGTTGAAGGAGTGAACTTTTCTGTAACTATGAGATCTTTATTACACCTGATGCCGCAACCTTCTCTCTTAATAGATAACGTACCTTCTTCCCCCATATATCCAGGAAACTCTCAGTTCGAAGCCATATGCATGCGAAGGCTTAACTCTCTGTTCCCGTTTTCCCTTTGCATATTGGGCTGTCATAATACAATTAGTTATAGCAATTAACTTGTGGATATCGTGCACACAGCAAGCCATAAAAATAACTAAGGTTTGAGAATGATGGATTATGAATCACCAGTCATCAACTATTAATGTTCGCGTATTGGATAATCAGTCCACAACAAAATTGATTACCTTATGCGATTTCTAACCTTGTTTTTTCCCTCTCAGTTGGAAATCTGAATCATAATATCCTAGCAAACACTCCGAAACTGAACCTTTAATTCAAGATATGTCCATGTGAAGAAAAACAAGTGAACATCAAAACAAGAAAGGATCGATGTAAATTGAAAAGTTGTAACCATTGATTACTTTGAACCATTAATAGAGAGACAGAGACACATATATTGGTAACCTTGTTTTATAGAATATGTTATTTTTCGAAGAGTTTTTTGCAAGGATTTGTTCACAAAATCTAATTTAGATGTGCGAGTAATTTATTTCTTTCAAATTGAGTTGCGTATGGTGAGGCTATTTATATGAAATGATTAAGATTGCTAGATCATTCACTGATTATTAGTCTTCACATATATGAATGCAAAATATAGAAAAGCTAAAACAAACAAAGTAAGCTGGACTTAGACTAAAATTAAATAGACTTGAATAGCTGGCCGGTCAATCTTATACTTTCCACTACTTCAAATCCAACACTAATATAGCTTAGAGTAGAAAATAGCAAGGAAGCAGATCGGTGAAAGCCGAAAGCACGAGAAGGAGATTTCATAAAAGTTTTATAGATTCGAAAGAAACATTGTAACTAAGCGGTCCACACAAACRGGTGAATGCAAAGTACACACTGGAGATTTCATAAACCTACAGTGCCAAAGTGAGCTGGAATTAGTTCGATACGAGCTGACATCGCCGTAGCTTCTCGCCTTCCTCTTCACCCTTATTCCCGAGTTTCTCGATTTATCCTTGTTTCTCTAGAAAATGGAAAATCATTGAAAACTGCTGGTGAAAACTATTGACGAACTTTGTACTTTGAACAAAAAGCTACTTTTAACAGCTATGAAAAGATATAAACACAATTTGATAACAGAGCCCCTGTATATCCTAACCAATTCTTTATCTTGATTTGCAAAGCATAAAGTCGAGGTCTGAAATCAGCCATGACATGGATCTCCGAGTCCGAGAATGAAGAAAAACCCTAGAACAAGGAGATGATTCTGGTAAACTCACAACTGCTCGACCTTTCGCTTTCTGGTCAACCGAAGGATTTTCCTTACGAAGCGACAAGTTTTCGAATGAGTTAGGGGAAGGGAAAAAATACACGTGTCAAGCAAAGAAAGCGCTACGTGTCGAGTTATGGACAGTGTTGGCCATTGTTTTATATAGTAGATTAAGTTTTATTGGTTTTCAATTCAAAATCAAAATTAACTGTAAATGATTGTATTTTACATCTCGGGGACTTCATTTTTTTTTGTGTTTCCTTCGGTGGAAGATAGGCTTGAAATTGTTGGGCTTTTCTTCTTGCCCCATTTAAACCAATCATCAATTTGAGTTTGTAGAATTTTAGACATGCCAAACCAATGACCATTATCACTTATGAACCGAAACAAACTAAACATAGTTTGCGGATTTCTAAAAATTAAGACCGATTCTATTTTGAAAACGTTTCATTTAAAAAAAAAAAAAATTGTACAAACGGTCTTTTTTTGTGCTTTCTAGTTTGCGGTTACCAATACATGTTCAATTATAAATTTATAGAATGATTAAAAACAGCTGTTTAGTAGTACGAAACAAAAAATTAAGCCTAAAATGATAACTAATATGAAACAGAAGAAATACTTAAATTATTTGATCCCAACAAAAAAAAATACTTAAATTAAAAGCCGAGTTTTAATCTGGACCAAAAACGAAAAGCTAGTCATTGTGCAACTTTTCTATGACGACGTAGTGTGGAATTTGGATGGACCAGTACATTATAATTGGTTAACTTATTAATCAACTCCTATCAATCTCTGCTAAATAGTTCAAAAACTAAAGTGATAATGCATGATTAACTAAATGATAGTAAAAGACAAGACGTAAAGTTTACTTAACAAATCACCAAATGAGTTTGTATAATGCGCACGTGATAATTAACTGAATTATTAAGAAACAGCTCTTTAGCAACGACATAAATGGAATTGATGGAGACAGAGTGGTCTGAGCACAGTCTAAATAAAAATAATTTTCTCCATTCTGTGTGTTGAACCAAAAAAATAAGAGTTAATTTGTTTACTAACCAAAAAAATAAAATAATAAATAATTAACCAAAACTTATCCATGTGGTAAAATGACAACCCTTAGATTTAGAAGTTTTGGTTAGTGATTTAGTTTTCTTTTTTGCCAAATTCCCAAAAAATAATTGTAAATTCAATACAAAGTTTAAAATTTTAGTTTATCGGTCCATTATGGAAGCAAATACCTCGATTCCCAAGGGAGATAGACCTCCGCGATCAAACAATACGATATCACCACCGACGAATCTCACCTGCTTCACAGATGCAGTATAGCGATCGGATACGCGGAACGCAGGCCTAGGGTGGATCCTTCGTAACAACGACACCATCGTCGCACAAGGCTCACGATTTCTGACAGACGTTTCATCTCCTCTGGTAACAGAATCACTAGCAATCCGAGAGGTCCTAATTCAAATCGGGCACCGAAATCTAAGAGCCCTGAACATCGCTTTAGACTTGAAAACCTTGATCAATCTCATCAACACGAGAGGACATCATCTAGAGATGTTTGGGATCCTGCAAGATATTGCACAACTCTCCCTCGATCTCAATGTTTTTTCTTTCTCTTTTATTCCTCGATCCGATAATGTCGATGCGGATGCTATTGCAAAACACGCTTTGTACCAAGGCCCGGTTATCACCGGTTTCCCCACAACTTCGGTTTAATCTTTAATGAATTAATTTGACCCCAAAAAAAAGTTTATCGGTCCATTTAATGGATTTTGTGTTTGATTCTCTCATAA